CCCTCATCCAGATCGTTGATAAAGATATTAAACAAGACAGGTCCTCTGTACATTTCCTCCACCCGTCTCTACCTTTGACTCAGCGTTTTCTCAAGAGCAAAGTCAAAATCAGCATGGGTGGTGAGGGGAAGAGCTCAATTTTGTAGCACTAATTTGACCCCTCTTGTCCCACAAACCTCACCAACTTATAACCATGCACAATTACCTTTTGGTGTTTTTGCTGTGAATTCGGGATCAAAACAAAAGGTATCTTCTGGCTTTCCAGAAGCAGGTTTAAATGGGGGTTGAATTTCTCTTCTGAACAGTTTCTAAAGTAGAAGGACAAAGTCATATAATTAAGAGTGAATGAAATTTCCATGGGTGCTGTAATTTTGCCAAGCTAAAGGGTAAGCAACTCAAATGTTATTGTTGTATTAAAGCAGTTTTCTGAAAGAGTCAATAACGTATAGCAAGTAGAAAACCACAAATATATATGGAAAGACTGAGTTACTTTCATGTACCTTTGATTTAAGATGCTACGGGAAATGTTACCAAACAAGTCAAACAATACAGAGCTCTTTTTCCTTATTCTTCTGAATCCGCTTCACCTACCAGATCTATACTTTTAAAACTGTAACAGCAGGCTGCTACTTATCACTAGTTCATCTTTGGCTTATTCAGAAGCACATGGAACAGCCATCGCGTATCTCACCTTCTACCATCATCTCGGACCTGGTTCACTGCTGTTTTGTCAGAACCCTGAAAAACCCACCCCAAAGGGAAGATACGGAATACACAGTCTCTACTGTTCTATTCTGGGTCCCAGACAAGGGCCCCTCATGAGTGACAGCCGTGTCCCTTTCGGAGAGGAACTGACAATTCTCAAAGCTCTATTCCAGTTTTTTCCTAATCTACTGAAGTCAGTCAGGGGAAAAGAAGGGAAAGCAGGACAATGGCTCCTCCTTTTTCTTCTCCTTCGCTCAACACATTTAAGAAAAACCCAAGTGATCGCAAATCAGCAATAAGTCCCATTTACAGTTAATGAAGAGAAAATTTTATGTCAAACGATGTTGAAGCCCCATGCAAAGTTCAGAAAGTTCCGACAACATTTTCTTGGCATTTTTCTCATCCTTTCGGACCTATTTTTTGCAGTTCTTTTCATTTAATCTTCCTGCACAAGAACATGCAACATTTTGCAATTAAAAAAAAAAACCAAACAAAACAAGGAAGAGGCACCTGAATTCATCCCCCCAAAAATAATAAGATACAATACAGAAGTGGTCATCACACCACCATATTGAAATACATACAAACCACTGTCAAATAAAAAAAAAAAAAAATAGAAAAAAAATAAAGAGTTAGAACTGCAGATCTTTCAGATTTCCTTGCAGGTATTTATTTCAATGTCAGTCCCTTACAAAAAAAAAAACTAGATAATCAAGCCATAACACCACAACCTTCTCTTGTGAAGTGTACTCATATAAAAGTTTGCTAATCAGGACTCTATGGTAGATGCTGCATGAACACTGCTAGAAAAACCACCTTCTCAGAAGTAAATACAAGGGATAAAAAGAAGGGTAATGACAACAGGCTTTAAAGAAACAGCTGAGCACGGTATTGGCTAGCATTGCAGGTAGTCCTGTCAGCGCAGCAACATCTTATTTATTGCGTCTATCTTTTAGTAGACATTATAGCAAAGGAGTGTTTTCAGAGTGGATTTATTTGATATAAAGCACCTCAGTTTTGTGAATGTTTCTGGGAAACACATCTCAAAAGCTTAGAGAGCTGCAGAGGAAAAGCATCAAGGTGCTTGTTAAAAATTTAAGCAAGCAATCATGAACTCGTACAGACTTCTGATCATCTCAGAGCACCAGAGTCAATACTTCAACTGTGAACAAAGTATGACTGATAAAATAGAAATGTGCTGTGGCTAACTAGAGAGCAGTCAAAGAGAATTACAGTCACAGAGTTTTTATGCCCTGCCTGGAAGCACTAGACGGACACTTACTCAAGAGAAGGGATCTTGCACACAGGGAACAGAGCATTTGTAGCTGGGAGAGGATGCTAGTAACAGACAATTTAAGCTTTAGAATGCTGCAACTCTTTAGCTATTTAAAAAGTCAATGTTCAATTTACAATTAATATTCTCTATACGATAAATACTACAGCTCCAGATGCCAAGCAAGACTGTAGTAGAAGCCAGAACGTAACTCAGGAGTACTGCAGTGTTTATTGTGCCCCATTCACATACAAATCCTTACAATGCTACAACACATAGAAAAATGAAAAAGAGTTTTACCATTCAGATAATTTTGCACTTACATTCCAGTCAACAGTAGAAAAAAAAGGATGTCTCTTGATTTCTTCAACTCCATCTGAACCAGCTCCTGAACAAAGAAGATACTGTGTTTAAAACACTTTTGGGTAAAGTCTTTGAAGAAGATTGCACTAAGAATTAGTTCATTTCTAAAAACATTTGCATAGACATAGTTATTTGAGGAAATTGTAAATACAGAAATATTCTAAGGGTGTAAAATACTCAATTAAAAAGTGTACACCTCTTCAGGGAGGCAAACATAGTACAAGAAGCCCATAAATACAGAGAGTCAACATTCTTTACTCTGACACTGTCAAAGCTTTAGTTCACTGCTAAGAGTCACTGGTCCAAGAAAGTCATCATTCATTAGCCAAACCTAGGAAGTCATAATCCAAGCTAACAAGAAATGGTATCTAAACCCAAATGTTACTGACCATCCGGCGCTTGAGAGTCTCTAGCAACTACCTTCTTTAAATAATCAACTCAACCCAACTACCTTTATTTCCAAGATCCAAATAAATGAACCGACCTAATCTATTTGATGGGTTCCTTTTAAACAACATCCTCAGAAGACTTTGTGCTTCAGGGCTGAGGAACTGAGGCATTCCAAGTTTTGCTCTAAAGAAAAACAGAGAACAAGTAAGAGGAAGACATGTATCTTACTAAAAATTGTCTACATAGACTTCATTGCAAAATTTGATGTATCAAGGATCTATTCCAAAGTCTTGTAGAGTGTACACATTTAACTCCTCAGCTTTTAAGTTTCACATTATATGAGTAGCTTTCAAAAACAAACAAAAAACCCCAAACAAACAGAAAACCCCCACCAAACCAGACCAAAAGCCCCAAACCCCACCCAAGCCCCCAGGAACAAGCTTTAGGCTAAACCAGACTAAAGCAATTCTCTCAGGAATACATAGTATTTTCAAAGATATCTTCATGTCACCAGTAAGTTATCACCAAAATGCCTCTACCAGAGTCAACACCAGAAGAGAATCGCCAAATCCCAAATTATTTGCCCCTGAAGTGATTGCTAATATTCCTCTGGAAGCAGGAGCCTCAATGGCTTAATGAGCTGCTACTTATACAAAAGCTTACTGACTTTACCAAGCTTATTTTATGGAAACGATTACGCTAAGGCAAGAAATTCTTCTGCAGAACTGTAGGATCACTTAGAGCTCCAAGGAGGCCAGTGGTTCAACCTGCCATACGTTGTTAAGAACAGCGCTTCTCTCTCCCCCCCTTCCCTATCGCCCCCTCCAAAGGCTCTGCATGTGGTCTACAGGAAATTCTTTGTTAGCTAAGCACAAATAAAGACGAGAACATATTTGCCCAACAACTTCACTTACTAATCACCGGTTTACCCAGTTTGTCTCGTTAGACAGCTTCTGTTGTAACTGAGGTAATTTAATATGAAAAATGCGAGCACTAAGTGCACTCTCCATATATGCGTGCACAAAGCACCACCTGATTAACTACTGCTTACAAAATAAGGTATGCTGTAACAGTAGCGAGAAAGCATAACCACATGAGTGGTAAATAATGCTGTTCCAATTCACTGTACTGTTTTTATCTTTATTATACACCTACAATGAAAATACAAGTTCATCCCTAAGATTTGAGTTCCTGCAGATACTTAACGCTACTTGCACGGTCCGTGATCTAAACCTTGTTACGGGGGGGCTTGGCTTCTTTGTTCCTATGCTAGCTTAATGCTCTTCAAAGACAAGGAGTTATCACAAGCTGTTAAAACACGTTCAAAAGTTACATTTTCTGACTTTCCAAAAAGTAAGAAGATATACTTACTTCAGTATCATATTCATAGTTTCATTGCGATCTTTACCTTGAAATGGTAGTGTACCAGTAAGCATTTCAAACTGAAAAGAACAAATGTTAATCTAAATCAACACTTCTTCCCCCAATTGCTCAAACAAAGTGTTAAGCACTGTACTTTTCCTTATCGCTACATTAGACATACTGGCTGGAGCTTTTAAAAGATTATCAAAAAAGTTCACAAATCTAAAATGTTGTTTTCATTGGCAGTTTACATGATAATAACAGCAGCAAGTGTAATGTAATGATGATGTAGAAATATTTTACATCGATAAATACTTCAATTAAAGTAATACAAGTCCCCTCTGTAACCTCGTTTTAGATGTTGCTGTACTATGAAAACAGCAAGAAGAATAAATCCTAAAACGGTACGGTACTTTTAGCGTCAATACGCATATTTCAGCCTGATGCTTTAACACATCCCAGCAAAGGCATAAGTGCTAGCAGTTACCGGCTTATTTCACTACTCCGCTCCAGTATTCATTCATCAGGCTTACTCTTACAAAAATGCAATTCATATTCCATCAAACCAAGTCTTTAGGGTTTTTTTTTTCTTTAACTATCAAGTACCATGCAAAATAAATACGCAAACTCAAGTTTCACGCTGACTACAACTGTTCTAAACTGCTAATGGACTACATGTATGATTTTTGTGGTTCCTGATAAGTACTCCTTACAGGACTAAGCAGGTGAAAAGTAAATTTTATTCTAATTAGTTGCTATCTGAGTAGCAATTCAGTTACTGAATTCTCTCTTCCCCTTACCCAAGCATTCATAATTAGATCTGGACAAGCTTATTCCAAACATAATATTGCACGAGACATATGCAGCGTATTTGTGACCTGTAAGCAAGGTAAGCGACGAAGCATACAGTACCATGAGAACACCAAAGGACCACCAGTCAGCACTCTGGTTGTGCCCTCGCCTGTTTACTACTTCAGGTGCCATGTATTCTACAGTACCACAGAAAGAATAGGCCTTCTTCTCTTGATCTACTGATTCTTTGCTGAGTCCAAAGTCTACAACAACAGCATTACAAGAATATAGCCAGTAAAGAACTTTAGAATAAAACCCCACACAACAGTGTATACAGTATTTCAAAACCAAAGTGTTGACAGCTTTTGTTTGTTTGCTTTTAGGAATATTATGCAATTATCCTTGCTCCTCATGAAACATGAAATTGCAGATATCTAGAGATACCGCAGACATTTGGTTTACTACGCACCACCAAAACCATTCTATAAGTCATATTAAATTGATGATATTACTACTCAAAATAACAGCAACTCTATACTTGAAATATTACACATTTAGAGGCTTAAGATAATCAAAAGTTCTCATTTTCTCTGTTTACTGCCTGCTTTATTCACACAAAAAAATGGACAGAAGTAAAAATGAGTTTCAAAGAGAACGCAGTCTGCGTGGTCTAGTATTACCGAATGATGAATAAATAAAATCAGACTAAAAATATTGTTGTTATATAAGACAACATGGTTCTGCAACCTGACTCAAGTTCAGTAAAGAAGAGTCTTGCACATCTGCTCAATTTATTCCAAAATACTTTTTTCTCCTGGTTTGAACAACGCCGTTGAATACACAAGTCCTTAATATTAGCCCAACTCTCAAGATGAGGCTCTCAAGCGTCCCTTTTTATTGATGGGGAAATGATTGCTAATCCATAATCCCATCAGCTATTCTTTCCAGTTTCAGAAGGAAGTGAGAATTTTAGGATTGAACTGGATTTAAATATATCACGTGGAATTTTAAAAATGATGCATTTTATAAACATCACCATTATTCTATCGAGTCTTTGAGAGTTTAAAAAACTTCATTTTCTCTTGGAATCTAACAGCAATTTCTATAGATCAAAATATATAATGAAATTTATAATACAAAAGCATCACCTTAAATGTGATTTAAAGCTTTCAGAAATTCATAGTAATTTCATTTCTAAATAGTCAGTCTTTTGTATATATAATTTCCTAGAATATATGTATTTTAATTGTTCCTCATAGAATATTTTTCTGCAATTTTATATGCATTCAAAAGTGATAATCCAGAAATGCAAAAACCCCCCTAGTATTTCAGAAGTCTGATTGTGCACTAAAATCTTTTTACACCAAAAGCACCTCTGCTCCTTTTAAAAAAAAATCCCACAGTCAGCAACTTCGGCCTGCACCTAGAACCTCTTGATCTGCAGTTAAAAGGCATTTCACAGTAAATCTTGACACAGCTTACTCTCTAACCTGAACAGTGGATAGTTTTAGTTACTGCCATACCACCACCCGAACTAAAGCTCCTTTAAAAAAAAACACATTCAATATCTGGTTTTGTATTTTCAACAACATTTCTTCTATTTTAACCACAGCAATGAGGATCTGCACTTTACAGCAATACTGCTGCTAACAGTGCACCTTGATCTATGCAAATATTAGCCAGCACGAAAACTAACTTCAGTGGAATCTGCATGGACATCAGGATCTGGTAAATGACCAAAACCATCAGATACAGTCTCTGACTATCTAAAAAGTTTCAATAAAAGTACTTAATACTATATAAAGAATCATTATATAGGGAAGAGATACAGATTTATTATAAAAAGTCTGTCCAATTAAAAATTTTCTAACCAGCAAAATACTAGCTCTCACATACTCCAGCCATCACTACACATATCTTAGACTGATAACTAAAAGCTTATACAGAAATATGTTCAGAAAGTGCTATACTAATAAGCGTTACCTACCTGTTAACTTGATATGTCCTGCTTCATCAAGCAAAATGCTGAAAATTAAAATTCACATTCACCAATACACATAAAGAGGAATGTTTACATATAACATTTAAAATACAATAGTTAACAATTTTGATCTCCAACTTCTGTTATTAATTTAACAAGCCAATATTATTTCATTTAAATCACAGATATATTTTCTACATTTTAGGTTTGTTTACATAGTTTTTACATAAAAGTATTTTTAATACTCTAGTGGAAAATGCAAACAAGCAAAATACACGTAATAGTGGTAAAATACATTTTACTTTACTTTTCTGGCTTCAGGTCCCTGTATACAATTCCCAAGCTGTGAAGGTGATCCAAAGCAAGGGCCAGTTCTGCGAGGTAGAATTTCACATCTTCCTCTGTAAACATAACCTAATAAGAACTGTATAGATTTACCTTCTGATCTTGTCTTCAGTTTTTAAAACTGCAATCTAAAAAAAATAGTCCTGTCTGCCTAAGTTTCAAAGTAAGTTTTAGAATTACCTTATGAACTCACAAGTCATGAATGCACCTAACAGAAATAATATACTAATATAGGCTAATCATCAAGTATACAAAAGAACTACCTGCAATATTTAAACAAAAACATCAGCAGTTACTGCAGAGCATTAGCTGACTTGCAAGGTAATGAATTTACTTGTTATATTTGGTGTTATCAACCACCACCGCTCCTTCTGCCACAATCCTATACAGACTGTTTTCCACTGCATCATAAAATTTAGTATACGACTGCTGTATTGGGTGACTGTGTCCGTGAATTCACATTAACAATATTTAGGAAAAACAGGTAGAAATAATTTATAAAAAAGTATGCAAAATAAAACATTTCGGTGAAAATAATGACGACATGAAAATCTGCAGCAGGAGTTGAAGAACCTATTCTGCAATTCTTAGGAAAAGAAATTTGAAGAACCCTAGCAAGATACTGAAAAACTGACTGACGTTGCATATCGAGCATTTGAGAGATGCATTTGTACCCTAAATACTCAACAGGTTGCTTCTAATTTCATAGACAAGAATCATACCTGCTTTGGCTCTTGTCATGTTCTATAAAGTACTGGAGAAGCCAGTAATCTTTGAATTGCTGGAATTGAATTTGAGGTTTAAGTGAACTGTTCCCTTATTTGTTGAAAACACCAGGAACAAGGCAACCGCACAGTAAATAGCTAACAAGACTTAAATCAAGGTAACTGGCCTTACTGATTTTAGTAGTACGAATTGCACATCTGTAATCTGTTCTACTGGCAACAGAAATATTCCTAATTTCCATAATGATAGGTATTAACGTTGTATGAACAATACAGCAGTTAGGCTACACAGAGTTTCACCTTGATTTTTTAAAGAGCAATGCTGATACTGATTTTCATCTATATCCAGAGGAGCAAGAGGAAACCTTGGGTATCATTACTCCTTAGACCAGCCAAAATGCAAATCTCAGAATGCAGTGATGCTAAATGGTAATCTACAATCTCCCAATAATAATTTAATTTAAAACTGCTTTCTGTGTCAAATTAAATACGATGCAAGTCAACTTAATTAAATGTTACCAAAGAAAACTTCATTATATACTCACTTGACTTCCACAGTATGAAACTCTCATACTCACATTAGAATTTAAAGACCAACAAAAGTGGTTTAATAACCTCATCCTAAATCAAAATAATTTAAAATAACCCTTGTGTGGAAAGTATGAAATGCCATGGGGAATTTACCCTCATGTGTATTGTCCACTGTCTTTGTTTTACCATGTACTTTTGAAAATACCTTGTCTTCCCACCAGAAAATAAAGGTCTGATTTTTTTTTTTCTTATCTACATACACAATAAGTGTTTAAAAGCTATCATAGAAGGCAACTGAAGTCTTCCAAAAACATGCAGGGACTTAACAGTAAGAAGACTTGACAATTATTCCTTCTTTATTCCCAAAGGGAATACATACCTCCTTCAACCACCTGCCCAGTACTAGTATATACAGACTTGCATCCCTTATTTAAGTGTTGCATACTCTGTAATCCCAGCTGTGTTAGTGCAAAAGAATAGTTCTTCCTGCTATACCAGAATTTCCTCTATAATTAGACAACCTATATCAAAACAGAGATTGACCTCTTTCCTACCTACTCTTCCAGTAACCCTTTACAAGTCAGTCTGTTTAAGCTTGTAACCTCCATTTTAGCCTCAAGGTTAATTAATTTTGAGCTCAATTCTTAGACATGATCACTGTTTTACCCAGGTCAGCTTTTTATAAAAAAGGAAAACAAAAGCCCTTTAAGTTCTTCTTCCTCTTTTGCTTCTTCCTAAAATAAAGCTTTATTTTTTCAAAAAGTTATGGGGAAAAAAACCCCAACTAGTTCATGGCCTTACATACTGGGGATACAAAAACCTCTGTCACGTCATGAAAAAAATCAGTTTTCTCATTTAAGAAAGTGGCTTTTCTTATGTGTTAGCAATGTAAATGTATTTACACTGGTGAAAACGCTGAGTAGTTCTCTTACTGTGAAGTTGAGAAATCGCCATTAAAAATGTACATCTTTATGAAAGGTTTGCAAAAAGAAGATAAGTCTTATAAACGTGTTCATAATACTTAAGGTAACGTATAATAGATATTTGATGACAAATGTTTTATAAAAATAACAACAGGCTGCATCATATTCCTTCCTCTGAAGCTCTCTCTCCAGAAAACAAAAATAGAAACAAAAAATGAAAGTTCCAGTTGCATGCCAATGTTAGATGAAGGGGAGCAGTCTCAAAAAAATCTCAATATTCACACTTTGTGAGATTAAGCATTAGGATTTGTATTACAGCATTATGAAATTTTACAATGCAGCAGAAACCTCTTACAGATGCGGGCTTCCAGGAGCACCTAAGCTGACTATGAGCATGAGAGCTATACATCCCCTTTCTTTATTGCTAAATCTTAATTCACTTCAGTTAGGTTTCCAAGCAACAAAACATTTTTAGACAAAAGAACTGTCCTTCGTAGATACCAAAGAAAAACATAGGCTACTAATCAACACACTCATGTCTCTTAAGGTTATAGAATATATTCTAGAATATGTAAGGGAAGCCCAAGTAAGTTATTAAAAATTTGACTATGCAAGAATTAAGGGAAACAGCTATAGAAGACAACCCTATACTGACAAAAACACCCCACCTGCCTAACTTAGCAGAGATAAAATTTTAGGTACTTACCTCTTTGGATAATCGCGTGAATACATCTCCTCCCCTGAGAAAATCCAATATTAAATATAGCTTCCCTTCAGTCTGAAAGGCTTTAAAAAAAAAAAATTGAAAAAAAAAGTCAATAGTTGTGTGACAAAGATGATCTACAAAACAGATCTGAATGCTTTTACAACTTGGAAATTTCAGTGAAAGGCAATACTTTTGGAATGGAAATAATTCAGCAGCACATGACGTAATTTACTGAACGATTACTTGCTTCTTCACAGAAGACAATCTTAGTCATAAGATCATTAAAATAGTGTTCCTTTATCTCCCCTCTGTCAAACAAGGAAACACCAAGTATGCGAATTACTGTGTTTTGGTTTTACTCAATGAAAAGTAAAAGATCTCTGCAGAACTTGTAAAAATTTTCCAGGAAATCTTTAATTTCAAAAGGACTTAACCTAAAACTCTTATACACGTGTGTATTTACACTCCCTTTTTCAGTCTTGTGATTTAAACTTCCAAGAACCTAATTTGGGCACTAAAACGGACACTACAAAACTGAGAAAGAACAAGATCAGCTATGCCTTCGAGTATTGAAAGAAACTGTAGCAAAAAGAAAATACCAACCATAGTGCAGTTTGACGATAAATGGATGATTTACTTCTACTAATATATCTCTCTCCATTTTTGTACGAACTCTATCCCGAACTGAGGAAAAAAAAAAAAAAAGAAAAAGACTAGCATGAAACAAATGTACTTGGTAGAATACAAATAGAGCAGAAATTAGCATATGGAAAGGTCTTTGCCATCTAAAAAAGTACTTTTCCTTGTTACCTTATTTGTTTTTAATTTTTAAGCCTCCCACAAAGCACATGCTTTCAGACAGCAAAACTCTATTTTGTTTCTTGCTTGCCCCACCTTCCTTAATGTCTGCATTTTTTTTTCCAACACATCACAATATTTTGTGATAAACCATATTACTTTCAAGAAAGAAGTTTACATCTACACTTCCAGGCAGGTAACTTCAACCTCTGAATTAACTGTCTATCCTGAATATATATTTTCTATCTTTTAAGATTACTTTTTCCTCTTCAGCTGGTAACAGTCCCTATTTGCACACAGTGGAGTTGCATCCACTAAAGTGTCTTCTGAAACCCAAACCAGCAAGTTAGCTTGCTATGGCACCTATCACAAGAGGGAATGACTTAATATTCTTAACCACAGCAGAGTTCTAACTTAACGAAAGAAAAAAGAAAAATTGTTTATGAAATTAGTTTGTTTTAATATAATGAAAAGACTAAACAGAACTAAATAATGCAATTTTAGACTCTGAAAGAGTACTTTTTACCATGTAATTAAAAGTTATCTGGCCAGATTTAAAATAATTCTTAAACATGAACTTACAAGTTATTCTAGAAAAAAAGCTACTGTCAGAGAAGAGGTATGAACTCACTGAAAATGATTTAAGATCTAAAAAATTATGTTAAAAATAGTATTTACAAGACTCATTTAAGAGAGACAGTTGCACTGAAAACCATTATCTAAAGTTCCAATTCAAAAGATACACTTACCTTTTAAAGAAGCTTTTTTCAATACTTTCATTGCATAAAGTTGCCCAGCATCAGGACCAATTATTTTCCGTACGAGGAAGACCTGGTAATATAAACACTGCTTTTAAAATTACCGCTAAAAATGTTTTATGTAAACCTGACTAAAAACCATTACTGTGTCTTTACTCTGAACTTCATTAATATAGACAAGGAGATAGCAAGCCCCTGGTCCCATCCCATTCCTCAAAACCTCCAAGGAATGAAAAGAGCCCAAATATTCATAGTCAGTCATTTTGCATAAGCAAGCTTAGTAATCAAATAAGCAACTCTCAGAAAGCATTTACAAACCTCCTATTAATGTCAGACAGCTTTCGATGTTCTTTCCTAAGTACACATCTTTAAGGAAGGGCAAAATTGCGTTCCCTTAATCAGACCAGAGGTACACGCACCACCAAGCGCTCGGAAACACTCGGACTGGTCACAAACGATACATCCTTTCCTATAGCAAGCCGTTTAAATAAGTACTTATCAAATAAGTAGTTATATAAATGTGTTTCTTCATATCACCCTCTTGGAGAATGACAATGCTGCCTGGTCTGCCACCTCCTAAGAAATTTTTGAGGTTTAAGATCAAAGTCTCAAATATGCAACAGGCTCTATTAATGAATTCTGTGAGAGTTGTGAGACGACAGCAAGGAAACCTCACCATTTAGGATCAAAGCACCCTTTCCCTCTGGAATAGCAACTCCAACAGGTTTGTCTACTCTTTTCTTTCCAGAGGAGTTTTAAAGATAGATGGTATATAACTTGACACTAAGAAAAGCATAATATTAGATAGAATAATGCAGTACCTCTACTGACTAATATTCTAACTACTAAGTCTTCCAATTTACAAAATTGTTTGGTATGTGCTCCTGTTTCCAAGTTGTTGTTCTTATAATAGCGATTACTAGCTATGAGGAATGCTTGTACTGGGAAGAAAAAAAAAATGTACAAGTCACAAGAGAATGGCAAGAGCTACCCAAAATTGCCTCTCTGATCTTACCTTATTCAGATTTTCATTAACACTAGATTTTTTTACATATATATAGTGTTAGAAATTTCTAACTTTTTAGATTTTTTTTTTTTTTAAATAATCAAATAGACTTGTCAACTTTTCCATTCTAGAATCAGAAATTCATACACTGTCACCAAGTTGTACAGGGTTGGGAGAGGGGCTGGTTTTATTTTAGGCTCTGGTTAGATGAAAAATGTCGTGATGGTTCCAGGTTATGGGGCTTTGTGTTTTGTTTAAGTTTTGCCCAATGATTGGCCTACAGCACTGCTCTCTGATTATATATGACGTGGATGCTCAAACAGTACAGGGAGTAATTCAAACACCGTCAAACAAGAGAACATCCGTAGATTAAGACGCTCACAATTACAGAAGTAAAATATTAATAGGCATATACAAATATTTTAGTGCTTAATAACTAGCAGCTTGTGACAATGCAAGGGAATCCAAGTTACAATTCTACCTAATAAGGCCAAAAGAGCTGCCACTGCGGCAACTACTCAAGCACCATCTACTTCATTTGCAGACAAAGTCTCCATAATCCCACATCTTGCGGGGATGCAACACCTGGGTGTTAGTTGTAAAGCACAGTCAGGATGGACACATACTGCGCAAAGCGATTCACCCAAGCGAATCGAAGGCCATCTTCAGCAGCCCGGGTGCTGAAGCCTCAGAACGTTATCACAGGCTGAAGACACTCAGTAAGGGACACGAGGTTTAACCCTTTATTTCTGCGAAGCAGTGTTAAATCCTGCACAGATGCTGAAAAAGACAGGTAGAGGATGGGCTGTAGCACTACACTAGCCAAAGCAAACAAACCGTGTGTTTGCTAAATCCAGAGGGAGATGCCTGGGAAGTATGAACTGGAGAGAGAAAAACAAACACCACGAAGGCAACAGCCATTGATCTTCCTTGTTTGTTTTCTCTTTTCAATAGTAAGCAACAAATACTAGATGAAAATGGCTCTGTTCAGATGTGCAACAGTTACCATCCAATTCTTAAAAGCTGGCTCCTGAACCAAGTGCTGCCAGGTTTCCAAAGCTCCAAAACAGACGCCTCACCAAGCTGGTGGGATTGTGGGCAAGAGCGTTCCTTACGCGATCAGAAGACTGAACTCAGCCTGAGTCAGGGCTAAGATGTCCATCCCAGCTGTGCTGAACCCCATGAGAGCTTAGGACATCTCAAGTCAGGAGTAATAAATGCACAGAGCCTTTTAGTCTCTGAAGACGAGAAGCGTATGAGGGAATTGGCAACCTACACTACCAGATAGAGAAATGTTTCTTAGGCTGCAAAACATGAAGAAATATTTTCAAGTCTATTTTCTAAACTATCCCTTATTCACAGAATGCTTTCCTAATGTCTAATTTTCCCCCCTCTCATGCAACTCTATGCAGAGGTTTGTTCCTGCCATTGAGATAGACAAAACCAGCACAAGAACAGGAAAATGGAAACATACGTAACGCTGATTGTCTATTTTTTATGTGTTGCAAAAGATCTCGTTTAAGAGTCTGGTTTTAAAAAATACACCAGGATTAATATTTCAATTAATGTGTTTCAAGCCAGACTGAGACGTTTGATTTTTATTTCGCCTCTGCAATGTGACACCAAGTGGCACATTACAAAAAGGAATTATTTTAACAAAAGATTTGCTGTATTTCTTCTACAACCTATTTGAATAATTGTTCACTTAGTGTCTTTTAGCTGTAGATGACTTGACAAATACAGCAAAATAAAAAACTGAAATACATTTCACAGGTTATTTACTTTATTGTTACATCGGTTCAAGTTCCAAACTACCACAATCATTCCTCTGTATCTACATCACTACAGATTTCATGTATTGAAAAAAGTCAAACGTTCACAGCGTAGACTGTCAAGTACCATCACTAAAAGACAAATCACCGTCTCCTCCGTAAGTGTCTATCGATGTTTATTACACCGCTGGTGCCTCCCAAGCATCAACCTAAACTACAGAAGATGTGAGGCAACCTATATGGAACAGAGATTCGTTCATTCTGATTCCTCACTAGATGCTGCAATAAAGTCTTGAGGCAGTTGAAACCACTACTATTCTATTTCAAGCAGCCATGGTGTTAGGCAAACAGAGCTTGAAAACACCAGAGCTGTTGCATAAAACCCACCTCTAATTCTATAACCCAGCCGGTAAAATCCCTTGCTGTTGTTCCCTTTGTTCCCATGAAGCTGCAGATGCCAGCCCAGATGAACTACAAACATGCCTCTCCGTTCTGTTAAAGCAAAGCATAACTTTCCATGGCGGAGCTCCTAAAATTTGCTACTGACTCATCCTTCTGCCTAGAAGGGAGGCTGTTGCCTCTCTGTCTCTGATACGATTTGGTGTCCTGCTATAAACAGCACTCCCTTGGCACCAGAGCAAGATTGCAAAGAGATGAAATTTGTCAATAACTTTCCAAACATTCCCAGGGACTCTGCTACGGCACTGTCTGTCTTATCCAAAAATGTACTTAGGGTGAGCTAGCCCTTCCCAGGTTGACTGTCTGGACAGGTCGATGGAGAAAGAAATCACTTTTTCCTCTAAAAAATGTGAAGTCAGACAGGCTATGATGGTAAAAACAAAAACAAACCTACATCAACCAACTGCCAAACAGGATGGGTAACTTCCTCCAAAACAGGCCAATTTCCACAAGCATATCTACCTGCACTCAGATTTGTTAGGTTTATATCTAGCCTTGCAGCACTATAGAAATAAGGAAAGTAAACCATTAGTAAGGCAAAGCAGATTCAAAGCTGACAGATGAAAAGAAAGTTTGTTACCTTACCTTTCCAAATGATCCCTGTCCAAGAACCTTAAGTAGTTCAAACTGTGCTGGATCTGCTTTCTCACATCCTTCTTTCACATGGTGTGTAATAGGAATTTCTTTCACACTTCCTTCATCCTATTATTTCAAGACAAACAAAAATACAACAATGAACAGGCCTGAATTAAGCAATTCTCATTAGAAGTGCATGTAAATGCCTGCTCTTCTGGTTTTGGGGTTTTTTTGAATAAAATATTTGAAATTCTAATAAGGCATAAAAAAAAGCTGTTCAAATGAAGAGTTTTCCCATCCATCCTTTCTTAAATAAATGCATCTAAAATTTCTAAACTGAAGTAAAATTCTCAAAGAATGCTCATTTCCTTTTGTCATAAATATTACAACTACAGCAAAGCCAGATTTTCTTACATGCAAGGAATAAATACACAGACTTGGTTTAAAAAAAAAATCTAAGATGATCCTTCTGGGCTTCACCTGCTTTAGCAGCCTTTAGTTTTCCCAGTG